GTATTTATTGTTACAGCAAATAGTTGTCCTTGGTTAAAGAATTATGTGTACAGTTCATTCTTTGAGGTTTCCAGGGGAACCTTACCTAATTCTCTATACAAGAGTAGGCAGTCACAAAATTTTTCTAAGATAAGCATGTTAAGCCCTATGTTAGGAACAGACCTTGCTGAGCATACAAATTAAAGATAAAATGTATAAAGTGAGAACACTGAGTCTGTGTATTACTCTAATCTACTTCTAAACACAGAGAATGTGGTCAGGAGTGAAGCAGGAATAGCCTTAAAGTTTATGATAGTTCCAGCTGCACGTTATCTGCTGGGAAGGTGTTTTAATCAGCTTCTCTGCCAAGGACCCAAACTAAGTCTACCTTGCAAAAAACCTCAAGGCAATGGCCAGCAACAGAGAAGAAACGTTGCTTTGCAAACGTCCTCTGAGAGTGCCTCCATTGTTGGAAGCAGCTTCTATTCTGTGCACTAACATGTTCTCAGAGTCCTTCAAGGCAAAACCCTGCAAAACTCCTGAAACTGTTCACATCTCTTACCCTATTTTCCTAACAATGTGTACTATAAGAACTTACAATAGTGTACTGGCATACCTCAGAGATATTGCAGGTTTAGTTCCAGACCACTGCAACAATGCAAATATCACAGTAAAATGACTCATACAAATATTTTGGTTTCCCAGTACATGTACTAGTTACATTTACACTATATTGTAGTCTGTTAAGTGTATAACAGCATTATGCCTAAAAATAAAATGTACATATCTTAATTTAAAAATATTGCTAAAAAATGCAAACAACCATCTGAGTATTTAGCAAGTTATCTTTTTGCAGGTAGATAGTCTTGCCTCCATGTTGATGGCTGCTGACTGATCAGGGTGGCAGTTGCTGAAGGTTGAAGTGGCTGTGGCAGTTTCTTAAAATAACACAACAATGAAGTTTGCCACATCGATTGACTCTTTCATGGAAGATCTCTGTAGCATGAGATGCTACTTGATAGCATTTTACCCATGGTAGAACTTCTTTCAAAGTTAGAGTAAGTCCTCTGAAACCCTGCTGCTGCATTACCAACTAAGTTTATGTCATACTCTAAGTCCTTTGCTGTCATTTCACCAATGTTCACAGCATCCTCACAAGAAGTAGCTTCCATCCCAAGAAACTATAAGAAACAGCTACTCATCCATTCTGGTTTCATCATGCGATTGCAGTTCATTCACACCTTCAGCCTCCACTTCTAAGTGTGGTTCTCTTGCTCTTTGCACATCTGCAGTTCTTTCTTCTACTGAAGTCTCGAACTCCCCAATGTCATTCTTTTAGGGTTAGAATCAACTTCTTCCAAACTCCTGTTAACATTGATATTTTGACCTCCACTCATGAATTACGAATGTTCTTAATGGTATCTAGAATGGTGAATCCTTTCCAGGTTTTTGATTTGCTTTTCCCAGATCCGTCAGAGTAATCACTATCTATGGCAGCTATAATGTTACAAAATGTATTTTTTAAGTAAGACTTGAAAGGTGAAATTACTCCTTGATCCATGGTCTACAGCATGGATGTTGTATCAGCAGACATGAAAACAACATTAATCTTATACATCACCATCAGAGCTCTTCAGTGTCTAGGTAGATTGTCAGTGAGCAGTAATATTTTCAAATGAATTTTTTTTCTAAGCACTCAATGGGTGGGCTTAAAATATTCAGTAAACCATGCTATAAATAGATATGCTGTCATCCAGGCTTTGTTGTTTTATTTATAGAGTGCAAACAGAATACAGCATAATTCTTAAGAACCCTAGGATTTTCAGAATGGAAAATGAGCATTGGCTTCAACTTAAAGTCAAAGCTGCCTTAGCCCCCAATGAGAGTCAGCCTGTCATTTGAAGCTCTGAATTCAGGCCTTGACTTCTCTCCTTTAGCTAGGAAAGTCCTAGATGGCATCTTCCAATTGAAGGCTGTTTTGTCTACATTGAAAATGCATTGGTTAGTTTATCTTCTTTAGTGATCTTAGCTAGATCTTCTGGATAACTTGCAGTAGCTTCTACCTTAGCACTTCGCTGCTTCACCTTGCACTTCTATGTTGTGGAGATGGCGTCTTCAACCTCATGAACCAGTCTCTGCTAGCTTCCAACTTTTCTACAGCTTCCTTACCTCTCTCAGCCTTCATAGAATTGAAGAGAGTTAGGGCCTTGCTCTGAGTTAGGCTTTGGCTTCAGGGAATATTGTGGCTGGTTTGAGTTTCTGTCTAGACCACTCACTTCCCCCATGTTAGCAATAGGCTTATCATTCGTGTGTGCACTGGAGTAGCACTTTTAATTTCTTTTTTGAAGACAGATCCTCACTTTGTTGCCCAGGCTAGAGTGAGTGCCGTGGCATCAGCCTATCTGACAGCAACCTCAAACTCCTAGGCTCAAGCAATCCTGCCTTGGCCTCCCGAGTAGCTGGGACTACAGGCATGCACCACCATGCCTGGCTAATTTTTTCTATGTATTTTTAGTTGGCCAATTAATTTCTTTCTATTTTTAGTAGAGACAGGGTCTCTCTCTTGCTCAGGCTGGTTTCAAATGCCTGACCTTGAGCAATCCGCCCGCCTCGGCCTCCCAGAGTGCTAGGATCACAGGTATGAGCCACCATGCCCAGCCCACTTTTAATTTCTTTCAAGAACTTTCCAGCTTCACAACTTGGCTGTTTGATGCATGAGTCCTAGCTTTCAGCCTGTCTTGGCTTTCAACATGCTTTCCCCACTAAACTTAATCATTTCTAGTTTTTGATTAAAAGTGAGAGCTATACAACTTTTCTTTTCACTTTTATACTTTTAGAGGCCATTGTAGGGTTATTAAGTGGCCTAATTTCAATATTGTTATGTCTCAAGGATCAGGGAGGCCTGAGGAGAGGGGGAGATATAGGGGACCGGCTAGTCCATGGAACAGTCAGAACACACACACGTTCATTACGTTTACCGTCTCAGGGCATGGTTTGTGGCTCCCCAAAACAATTGCAATAGTAACATCAAAGATCACTGATCACCATAACAGATAATAATAATGAAAATATTTGAAATATTGTGAGAATTAACAAAATGTGACACAAAGACACAAAGAGAGCACATGCTGTTGGAAAAAATGGTGCAGGTAGACTTACAGGGTTGCCACAAATCTTCAATTTGTAAAAAAACACAGTATCTGCAAAGCGCAGTAAAGCCAAGCACAGTAAGATGAGGAAGCCTGTGCTTCCATCTCTCCCCTCCAAACTTTGTACCACTATTGTGATACATTTTACTTCTACATATGTTATAAACCTCACACTATATTGTTAGTACTTTTCTTCAGTTAATTATCCATTAAAGAGATTTAAATAATAAGGAAAATAATCTTACATACTTATCCAGCAGTACCATCTCTGGTGCTCTTCATTTCTGTTTTGATCCATATTTCCATCTGGTGTCATTCTCTTTCTGCCTGAAGGACTTCTTTTAACATTTCTTGTGGTACAGGTCATATGGTGATAAGTCGTGTCTGTCTGGAAACTCTTATGGTAATACGCTGAGGCATGCGTAGAGCTTACTGAGTTCATTTCTGTTTCTTGGGAATCACTGTCCTATGTTGCCTGATGTCCAGATGTTTTGAAAACCATTGTTTCATATATTTTGTCTGGTTTTCGTTGTTGTTTTAGGCAGGAGGGTAAATCTAGCCCTTGTTTTCTCATCTTAGAATTGAAGTTCTAGCCAAGAATTAGAGAAAGGAAATAAAGTGGCAGGGACAAGACTTTTCAGAATTGGCAAGTAATGGGCATGTTTAAAGGCTGAAAGGGGAGAAAAGCTGGGATTTCTTAGTTAGATACACAACAGCACCCTGTACAAAGCAAGGTGCAAACAAGCAGCTGATTAGCAAGTAAAGATGGCTTTTGAAGCTTCTGGGTAGGGCGTATTACTCTGGGATTTTCCTTTAACTCCTAGTCCAAGACCTCATTGTTCAGTAGTTTTGAATCTGCTAGCCTGGCCTTGAGTGTCAGCCAGAAACAGCTTATTGGAGCTGAGGAACTGCAGCAGATGTGAAGTGGCTTCTAGAAGGAATGGCTGTGGCAGAGGCCCAGGTTGGAATTGAAGAAAAAGTTTTGGAAAAGTTGCAGGGCACCTCCCCCCCCAAGCTTTTCCTGTTCACATAATAGTTAAATATAATAGGGAGCTTGATCCCCCAAATTAGGTCACCTGGTTGTTGAGGGAATGGTGATCCAGAAGCTCTTTGTACTGTGTAAAATTCAAACAGTTGTCATCTGGCAGCTTTGGGCAAACAGCATCCCATGTCTGTTTGCCTGCACGGGGTGTAAGTAAGGAAAAGAGAAAGTGGAGAGAGGGTGTGTCTCAAACTGGGTGCCTTAAACAACAAAACTTTATTTCTTATTGTTTTGGAGACTGGAAAGTCCAAGATCAAGGTTCCAGCAAGGTTTGGTTTTGGTGAGGGCTCTCTTTCTGGCCTGCAGATGGCCACCTTGTCTCACTGTGTTCTCAGCTGGCCTTTCCTTGGTGGATGCACTGGGAGTAGAAAGGTCAGTCTCTCTCTTTCTTCCTTTTCTTATAAGGCCACCCGTCATGTCTGATTAGGACCTCACTTTATGACCTCATTTAATCCTAATTACTTTCTTAGAGCTCTATCTCCAGATACTGTCACATTGGGGTTAGGGCTTCAACATCTGAATTTGGGGGGACAGAAACATTTAGTCCATAACAGAGTATGGGATGCAGCAGCACATGGTACCCAACAACTGTGACATGGGTCTTTTGTCAGCTCCTTTCTAGGTACATTGTGGCCATAGCCTCCAAAGGCCTCTGCCCTGCAACAGCCCTTCTACTGCATACCTGCAAACCAAGAGCATTCCAAATGAGATTTGGGTTCCAGTATTCTGATGAAATGAGTAGAACTGGCCTGAACGTACTGTCCCAGTCACTGTTAGGATCCTGTGGGAAGAGCAAGTCCTCTGACACATTTCATGCTATTCGTCTCCAGGTTCTTCTTTGTGGTCCAGTGGGTCCAAAGCTGCATGAACTTCTGGATGACAATGTATTTGTTCCACCAGAGTCACTGCAGGAAGTGGATGAGTTCCACCTTATTCTAGAGTATCAAGCAGGTAAGGAAACGAGTAAGTAATGGTGGTAACACTGGTCAGGGATTAGTGTATTGTCACACTGAGGTGTGACTGTGCCAGAGATTGAGCTTTATAACTTAGCAGAATCATATTTTTGCTGTATACCAAAAGTGTCCTGACCCACTGGTTCTACTGGGCCATTCAACGTCTCAAGGGAAAGTGACAGAGTATTCTTACATCAAAGAAAATTTGCAGGTCTATAAGCAGAATTGCTCTGAACCCAAGAGAAATAAGACTGTAGGAAAGCAGGCATCTTGAATAAAAATGAAAATTGGTAAAGTTTTATACTTTAACATATATAAAGTTTTCCTTTATTACTAAGAAAAGAGAAAGGCAAGTGACATCTGTTCAGCAATGCCCTAGGCCTTTCTGGCTGGCTGTGCCAAGCTGTTTAGGATTGATTCCAGGCCTCTGGCAACTTTCTTTGAAGCTTTTTCTTTTTCCTTGGTATGTGAGTGGATTATTTCTCATTATATAGTTTTCTAATGTTTATAAATCCAAATCCATCCATCACACCCACCCCCAGCAGATTTTGTATGTTACACAAACTAGAGATCTGATTTCTGAGTCAATCTTAAATACTTGGACATATTTTGATTCTGTGTATTTCCTGATGTATCTTTCCCTTTGCTCAGAACTCAGACTCTTGAGTTTCTGATTCAACACATTATTAGCTAAAGACTCAAGCATCTAATGGTATTAAAGCAGTACTTGACACTCCTCAGTGAACTGCTCTCACATCAGACAATTAAGAGAACCTCCCCTACTAGAGTAATTAACTTTAAGGTAAGATGTGAACTATATTGCTTCTTGAAAATTATGCCTTTTTCTAGATATGAAAATGAATTGTTTCCTGCTTCTGGTTCTCTTTGGGATGCTTACCGGAATCAGTTGGGAACTTAGGAGGGACAGGGTCTGGAAATTAAGGACACAATGTTGAAGTTGGCAGTTCACGTTGAATGATACACACATTTTGAGTTTCTCTCAGTTTTAGTTTCCCCAAAAGGGAAATAAGAGTTAGAGTTGCCAAAACATTGTGGTAAGGATTAAGAGGTTGGTGTGTTTAACCATTGCGAGCTGCTTGGAAAAACATGACCATGACTGGATTGGAAGGGTCTGAAATAGCTCCTCCTGTGAGGAGCTACCGCCACCAGTTCCAGATTCGTTCCACTTTCACTGCTGTTGGCACTCACAGTGTGAACTGGGAACCTTTGTGGTTCCTGGTTTCTGTCACATTCTCTAGTGACTACACAGTGGAGATCCAGTGTCTTCAACAAGACTTTGATGTTGTATCGGGCAGCTGTGCCTTGTATGTAGTTAAGGAGACGGCACAGCTTATCTCGGAGGGGGATTGTCTCCATCCATGGGCTTATAAGCTTCACACTTCAGTTTTTCTTTCCGATGCCTTAATTTTCTTAGTACAAAGCAGTGGCCTTCCATTAAACTTCATACGATGTTACATTTTCCTAGCCTCAGGAGGGAATCTGGTCTGGTGGCAGCAGCCCCCGGGTGAGCTCTCTTAACAGAAATCCATCCCCAGCCTCTCTCTAACCTAGATGGATAATTCTGAGAGGATTTATCAATTTTTTCCCTCATTCTCTCAGAAAAGCCCATTTTCAGGCTTGGGCAGGGAATCCAGTGAGTAATCACACAGGTGTTGCTGACTTGCTTCAGGACAGGATAGTAAATGGAGAGAAGAGATTTCAGAGATAAACACAAAGCTTTGTGAGGAGAGAGAGCATGAACTGCTGTTTCAGGCCGAGTTTCTATCCGCTTGCTTCTCAGGCCCCTCCATCAGCCTTGTGTTCTGTGGAGACAGCGAGTGGCCCTCCACACGCCTCCTTGTCCTGGCCTTGTGAAAGTCTGTTTATTTTTGCCTCCATCACTTGCCTGAAGCAATCGTTTGCTTTTGGATGCTGTGTGGCTCTTTCCCCCTAGGTTGTTAGGCCACGTTTCCTAGCATTGTCACTATTCAAGAGTCAGGTCCTTGTCTTGCTTTCTAGATAATATCAATGTGATGTATTTTTCCTGTTGTACAGTCTTGTTAATTTGGGAAACGCTGGATATGGAGTTCATACCAATATTCTTTGTTGTCATGGACATTTAGGTCATCAGTCTGTTCTCTTACTTGTTCTTTTGCTAATTCATTCACATGGCTGTAAGCCAGGCGCAATGTGAGGCGGCAGGAGTGCGATGGTAGAAGACCACGTGGACCCTGCCCTCAGCTTGCAGTCTGCTGCTGGAGATGAACACTTGAATAAATTATTGCAAAAATTATGTGCCTAGACCTAGAATAGGATACAGTGGTGGCCCAGGGAAGGAAGTAATCAAGTCTGCTTGGGACCAGTAGAGTTAGGGAAGGCGTCACATTTACAGAGGAGGTAGTACTTGAATTTGATCTTGAACAGTCATTACTCCAAAGCTACTTACGCAGAAGCAGCTAGAGCAGCCAGGTGTTCTTCCCTTTAGGATCAGGTGCCCAGAAACAACCAGTGGGCAGGAGGGAAGAGGAGGTTCAGTTAGCTTGGATCTTGAAACTTTAGCCTCCTGAGGTTCCAGCTAAATGAAAGGTGTTCAGGGCACTGCTGTGAGGTGGAACATGCTCTGAAAAAGGCAGCCTGTGCTTTCTGCAGGAGCATGTGCAGCATGCACTCTGTTGGTATTTGGCAGTCACGCTACTGCTCTGTAACCGTCTCCTGTGTGAGAGCTCAGTGGACAGTGGCGCTCTCCTGGAACTCAGGGAGCTCGCTACCTTGCAAAGAGCATATGGCTCCTATACTGTGTTTCTCTTTCTTTGTTGGGTTTGGGTTTAGGTTTTTGGTTTGTTTCTTGCAGTGTCGTGCTGACCATAGCCGTAGACCTTTGTATCTGGGGTCCACTCAGCCAGAAGCCAGCCTGCTCAGAGCCAGGGCTCCCGTGAGGCACCGGAAGGCCCTCCTACAGCTAGGAGACTTAAAGCCTCTTCCTTTTCTTCCCATTGTGTTGACTGGGCTTTTCTAGGGGAGGAGTGGGGCCAGTTAAAAGCTCCCCATGCCAACCGATTCATCTTCTCTCACGACCTCTCCAACGGGGCCATGAATATGCTGGAGGTGTTTGTGTCTAGCCTGGAGGAGTTTCAGCCAGACCTGGTGGTCCTCTCTGGATTGCACATGATGGAGGGACAAAGCAAGGAGCTCCAGAGGAAGAGACTCTTGGAGGTAATAGCACTGTTATAGAATTTCACAGACCTCAGCTGCTGTTTTCTTTCAGGCTCCAGCCTCTTTCGGCCTCTGTAGCTTGTGCTGCCTTGCCTTAGGGCCTGGCCTCCCAGGGACATATCCTGGCAGCTGGCTGTGAAGCTTGCCTCCTACTCCAGTGAGGCGCTTCTCTGTATCCCTCCAGATGTGGGCAGCAGCTCAAGTAGGGCTGGTCAGAACATCTTCTTGCCTGAGCCTCTGCATCCTGTGCTAAATGGGACGTGCCTGCAAGCTGCAGGGTTTGTAGTTTGTGTCCTTTGTGTTATCTGTATCATCTCACTTCACATCAGCTATGCTGCAGTTCCTACAGATTTGTGCAGCAGTTGAAGCCAACTGCTCAGTTTAGGTCACAGGAACAGACTGGCAACATGAATACACAGGGGCAGATCTCTGTTGTCTCTGATTCTGTAACCCTGATGGCTCTCTGCAGAGCATAGTCTTCCCTGCTGGGAAAAGTATCCCTTGTCCACAGAGGCAATGCCGGGCCCCACATTGCTTGTAGCTCTTGTGATGCAAAGAAGGCAGTTACAGGAGGCATTGCTTCTTAGGACCTGATCTTTTCTTCCCTCTCACCTGACTGCATTTCTAACGGCAGTGCTCCTCTTCTCTTTGCAGGTCGTAACCTCCATTTCTGACATCCCCACTGGCATTCCAGTTCACCTAGAGCTGGCCAGCATGACCAATAGGGAGCTCATGAGCAGCATTGTGCATCAGGTAACCATGGGGCAACACATGGGCCATCTTTTGGCCCTGATCCCCGTAGGGCCTTGCAGAGAAGCTCCTTTGTCAGTAGGACCATATGTTTGGGCTCAGCGACTGGCTCCCCGAAATGTAGGTTTGTTTCACTCAGACCTAGTCCATGGGGCTCCACATGAGGATATAGGACTGTTGTGGAACAGGATCTCCTACTAGGTCAGAAATATGGTAGTGTAACTGCTAGATTCCTGGGTCATATTTCTCCCTCTGGAATAGGCAAGTTAAAAGTGAATGGCTTATTGCAGTAGAGCTCAAAGGAGAAAACTGAAGCCCAGCTCAGCTGCTTTCAGTTGAACTTGAGGAAGCTCAAAGCAAGGTAACTTGAGGGAACTTCACTTCCCTACCAGGCATCTAGTTGTTCATCTCCTTCCTTTGAACACAGCAATGATTAGGAGAAATGTGAGCACATGAGGCTCAAGAGCACGAGCTGAGTCCTGGTTGGTATGCCAGGAAAGTTACTCGCCTGTCATTTTAGGGTTATTAACCTTGTAAACTTGTAATATACTAATATTGTTCAAAAACCCCCAAATGTGCAAAGACACACTGTGAAGTCTTCTTCTTTCTGGTTCTTCCCTATCCCCTCCTGTCCCGCCTTAGGAATCCCCTTTTTATCTTCCTCTGTATCCCTCCAGAGTTATTTTGTACCTGTATAAGAAAATATGGGAATATATCCCTATTTTTCACCCAAAAAGATAGTATAGCATAGCTGTGCTTCGCTTTTCTCACTAAATGTATCTTGGAGATATTTTCTGTATCATTAACAGAGAACGTCCTCTGTGTTTTCACAGCCACATGGTTAAAATGAACGTGTGGATGCACCTCAGTTTATTTAACCTGAATCTTCTTGATGGACATTTTGCCCTTTGCTGTTACATATGATGCTGCAATGAATAACCTTGGGTGGGATTTTATTTCGCCTGTGAGCAAGTACATGTGTATATTAAATGTTCAGAAGTAGAATTGCTGGATTGGAAGCATTCGTAACTTTTTGACATTGCCTGATTGCCCTCCATGAGAATTGTACCAGTTTACTTCCTACTAGCAATATTTATAAGTGCTTATTCCTTCATATCTTTGCCACCAGAATGTGATTAAAAATTATTAGTCTGACAGATGAAAAGTGGCATTTCAGTGTAGAGTCAGCCCTCGGTATCACAGCGGGGGGGCTCCAGGACTCCCCACCCCCACAGACAGCAAAAGCTGCAGATGTCCAAGCCCTGCACTGGGCCCTGTGCCTGAGAAAAGTCGGCCCCCTAGCCACATCTCTCAAGCACTGTTTCTCCCATCTGAGGTTGGTTGAATCCATGGATGCAAAATCCACAGATACGGAGGGCTGACCGTAGTTTGATTTTTTTTAAATACGCTTTCTTTTTTAGGGCAGTTTTAGGTTCATAGCAAAATAGGGCAGAACGTACAGAGTTCCCATGTACTCCCATCCCCCCGCATGCACAGCCTCCCCGCCGTCGCCATCCGTCACTGGGGTGGGACATTGGTTAGAGTCAGTGAACCTACATGGACACATCAGCATCACCCAAAGTCCATAGTTTGCAGTTGTGTTCACTCTTGGTGTTTTCCTTTACGGCGGGATTTTGTTTGTTTGTTTGTTTGTTTTAAGGGACAGAGTCTTACTCTGTTGCCAAGGCTGAGTGCAGTGGTGTGATCTAGCTCACCACGATCTTGAACACCTGGACTCAGGCAGTCCTCCCACCTCAGCCTCCAGGGTAGCTGGGACTACAGGCACATGCCACTATGCCTGGCTAATTTTGTTTTTTGTAGAGATAGAGTCTCGCTATGTTGCCCAGGCTAGTCTTGAATTCCTGGCCTCAGGCAATCCACTTGTCTAGGTTTCCCAGAGTGTTGGGATTACAGGTGTGAACCACCACACCTGGCTTCAGTATAGTTTTATTTACTTTTCTCTTGCTAAGGTTGAGTATCTTTTCACTTTTTAAAAAATGAGCTATTATTTTACTTTCTCTCTGTCTACATAGTCCTTCTTAGCCTTAGTCTGTACATGGATACAGTTCCTCCTTCCCTCAAAGGGTTATGGTTAGATTTGGATGAAATAAAGCCTTTAGCTCAGTGCCTGGCATAGAACATGCAATAAATAAAAGCCACTATTACAGTAACAAAGGTATATAGGACATTAATTTAAAAAAAACATTTATATGCATACACATATATACAGGACTCATCTCTCCTACAGAAACCTTCACTTAATGTGTGGTTCTCTGATTCTAGGGAGGGAAGTGCTAAGTTAGAAAGACAGGTGAGTATAGCGGTTCCCCATAAGATAGAAAATGCGCTCAGTGAACACAGATGGTCTTCCTAATGCACACCTGCTTAAAATGCTTAGCTCTAACATGAAACTATATTTTTCTTGCTTCTTTTTTTTTTTTTTTTTTTTTTTTTTTTGATGCCCAGGCTAGAGTGAGTGCCATGGCGGCAGCCTAGCTCACAGCAACCTCAAACTCCTGGGCTCAAGCAATCCTGCTGCCTCAGCCTCCCGAGTAGCTGGGACTACAGGCATGCGTCACCATGCCCGGCTAATTTTTTCTATATGTATTAGTTGGCCAATTAATTTCTTTGTATTTATAGTAGAGACGGGGTCTCGCTCTTGCTCAGGCTGGTTTCGAACTCCTGACCTCGAGCAATCCACCCGCCTCGGCCTCCCAGAGTGCTAGGATTACAGGCGTGAGCCACCGCGCCCGGCCTTTTCTTGCTTCTTGTTGTTACATATGAAGAACGATTGTGACCCTGAGTGTACATGCTAAGGTCTCTATTTTACTGGCCAAATGCCTGCTGACATTCAGGAACTGAGAGCCGTATCCCATCAGTGGTAACAGTATACACTGTGTGTACAAAGCTAGGCACCATGGGAAGAACAGAATATATACCGCTCTGCCATCGGCTTACAATGGCACATAACAAAAGACTGAGTCTGAAACAGTGTTGCTGCAACTTCCCAGTTTCTCCCAAGTTTTAATGAAGTTGGAGGTAGAGGTGTAATAGCTAAAGCAGTGACTTCAGGGGTGGGAGTCCTGCAGTAAGGAAGAAAGATGCCTGCCTACCTTCTCATTTAATCATTGGCTGTGTCCTGAGATATCTTAGGAGCTAGATTATGTCCATCAGAAAGAGACCTGTCATTGTTTTTGTTAGCAGGTCTTTCCTGCAGTGACCTCCCTTGGGCTGAATGAACAGGAGCTGTTATTTCTGACCCAGTCAGCATCTGGACCTCACTCTTCTGTCTCTTCCTGGAATGGCATTCCTGATGTGGGCATGGTCAGTGACATCCTCTTCTGGATCTTGAACGAACACGGAAGGAGTAAAGGCGCAGCCTCGGACCTCACCAGGATCCATTTCCACACGCTGGCCTACCACATTCTGGTAACTGTGGATGGACACTGGGCCAACCAGCTGGCGGCCGTGGCTGCGGGGGCTCGTGTGGCTGGGACGCAGGCCTGTGCGATGGAAACCATAGATGCCGGCCGAGTGTCTCTGAGGGCACCCCGAGAGTTCATGACTTCCCATTCGGAGGCAGGCTCCAGGATCGTATTAAACCCCAGTGAGCCAGTCGTAGAATGGCACAGGGAGGGAATATCCTTCCACTTCACACCAGTCTTGGTGTGTAAAGACCCAATTCGAACTGTGGGCCTTGGAGATGCCATTTCAGCTGAAGGACTTTTCTATTCTGAAGTACACCCTCCCTATTAGAAAGGTTATGGTAGATCATTTTTCTAAGGAAGGAGAAGTAGCCAACTTAAGAATTACAGAAGAAAGTGGTTTGGAAAATAGGATTGAGGGGTCAGAACTGTTTCTAGATCTAGTTGGAAGACAGCCAAAGAAACAAAAGCAGATTAAACTGTATCAGATACATTCCAGCCTGTTGGCGATTACATAAAAGCATTTCAGGTTTTAATCAAAATTTAGCTAATGAGACTGGATTTTTGTTTTCTATGTCATGTGTTGTCACAGTGCTAGAAACTCAATTCTCAGATCTCCAGTTTATGCAGCGTCCAGTATTTCAAGCCAGACTTCTTCACTTTGAGAGCATGTCAGCTGGAGAGAGCACTTCCCGCCTCGGTCGCGTCAGAAGTGCACGCTCCCCCCCCACGCTCCTGGCCTCTAGTAAAGCCTGCGGGAGGGGCGGCATCTCTCAGCTCACTGCCTGCTCACCTGCTCATGGGCAGAGTCGTGATTTTCATTCAGTGTTACAATGACAATACGTAATGAGCGTACCTTGTCAGTCTCCTCCCAGACTTAGGACAGAGCCACAAGTAAGGAAAGAACAATCCTTCCTGTGCTTTATGAGCACAGCAAGGGCTGGGAGCCTTGAGCAGCCTTTGAGGGAGCCATTCACTCCGCAGTTGTTTGGAAGCCTGGGCAGCTTTGTGAGCTGAAGGACTGTGCCTTCCTGTCCTGGCTGTTTACACTGCGGGCTGGCTGGTGAAAAGCTGCTGTGGCCTGAGACGACTTCATGGCCTAGCTCCGGATGTGCTTTCTGCAATAGAAGACTGACTTTGTTTATTCTGAGCCTTCAAGGAGTTTGCTTTTACAACTGGAATATGCTTCTATGTATATAACATCATATATGTTTTCTGTTTTCATTGATACATCCATTAAAGAGTTTGACCTCATAAGAGCCCCAGGATCATGAATAAATTTGTCATGTTATATATTTATTTTTTTATAAATCAAGAGTTCTGTGTGCTTTTAAATATATTAAAAACAATTTACATTTCAGGAATCCTAAATCCGTCTGTAATTTTGTTTCCACCATCACTCTGGATAAAATATAAATCATTCTGATCTTCACTTGTGACTTACATGGTGGTCTGCTCTTGACATGTTTGATTATTTTGTCTTCCCTATCACTGCGTTACGCAGTCCCTCATGCCGAGCCTTAGCTGTAGGCATGCCCTCTTGGGTTTAAAGTGTCAGAAGTTACCTGTATGTAGCCCAGTTAAAGCTGAATTAGAAGCTGGGTACAGTGGATCATGCCTGTAATCCTAGCTACTCAGGAGCCGGAGGTGGGAGGATCGCTTGAGGCCAAGAATTTGAGAACAGCCTGGACAACATAGCCAACCCCCATCTCTACCACACACAAAAAAAAAGTTGAATGGGAGCACAGCAAATTGAAAGCATAATGAGCCTTTCCAGCGTGTTCCAAGGACAGTGTGGACATGGCAGCTGGTGGCAGGCCTGCCTAATTCAGGGTTATCATTCCCCCTGGTTCCCCAGCAGCTTCTGGAATCTCAAAGCGACCCCGAGCTCTTCATTTATGACCTCCTCTCCCTGCTTTGGGTAAGAAGTCTTGATTACTCCTTCACAGAAAATTTAAGCTTAAGAGAATTATGTAGCTTGTAATTCAAAGCAAGTAGCTTATTAGGGAAATCTCTGGCTGCTACCTCATCCTTCTCTGCCTCCCAGCTCAATTAAAACTAACCACCAACTTTCTAGCCTATTTTTATTAGAAAGGCTTACATGAGAAGAGATTTCTGTTTTCCCAAGAAGATTTGGAATAACTCAACATTTATATTTTAAACCTAAGAAGATTTAGTAGTCCTGAAGTGTTCCCCATGTGATCTTTTTCTTTTCTTTTCTTTTTTTTTTTTTTTTTTTTTGAGACACAGTCTCACTCTGTTGCCCTGACTAGAGTGTCATGGCATCAGCCTAGCTCACAGCAACCTCAAACTCCTGGGCTCAAGTGATCCTCCTACCTCAGCCTCCTGAGTAGCTGGGACGACAGGCATGTGCCACCATGCCCGGCTAGATTTTTCTGTATATTTTTAGTTGTTCAGCTAATTTCTTTCTATTTTTATTAGAGACAGGGTCTTACTGTTGCTCAGGCTGGTCTCAAACTCCTTAGCTCAAATGATCCACCTGCCTTGGCCTTCGGGAGTGCTAGGATTACAGGCATGAGCCACCGCACCCAGCCCATGTGATCTTTTTCTTATAGTCTGTCTCTAAATTGTCTCCTTAGGCCCTGACCTTGAGTGTATATTGTCAACAGGGTCTCCATTTTTCCTTGGTGGTAATGATAAAAAGTAGTTCAGGAAGTATAGTCAGCACATACCCTAGAGCATTGTTTTGCAATGATGAGTCTTAAACTATTAATAGTCACTAAATCAGTTTGTTGGTTATCACTAAATGTAACAAAATGCATCATGCATTATAAGGGTATTAAAATAAGCATTATTTTGTAAAATGTAGTGAATGTATGTCTAAATGAGTTTGAATGATTGTACGTATGTAAACATCTCCCGGCAGAATGTCTTACCTTTTTGTGAAGTAGTTAAGTTAAATAGGAGTCACTAGGATCTATCACTTAGGACAGATTATGCAGAAGTAAATTGGAAGGGCAGGATAAGCTGAGCACATGGGGCTTTAGGTTCTGCAACCCTTTGCTTTCAATCGCATTTTATAAAGCTTTCCACATATGATTTTATATGAAGAAGAAAAGTTTGATAATCCACTGGCATTGAAAGGATGCCTAGTTAAGAGTAAGCCTTTCTAGAATAAGAACTGTTGGTACACTCCTTGCATTCACTTGAAACTGATTTAAAATCCAGGGCAAAGCTGCAGCACACACAACACAGCCAGGAGATAAAAATTAAGCCAAAAGTCAGTAATCCTTATCATGCAAGATACAGTTTACGTTTTATTCTCTCACTGTCAAGTTGAGTGAGATGAGAGTAATTATTCATCAGCAGAAGAAATCCAAATTCTGTGTAGGGTTTTGAGATGGTGGGTATTATATGATATTAGACAAGTTACCCTTACTCATCTGTAAAATGGGGCCAATAATGGTACCTGCCTTTATAGGGCTGTTGATTAAAGGAGATTTCCATGCAAAATATTTAGCACAGTATGTGGCACATATTTAAGAGTTTAACTGTTAGTTATTAAGCTGGGTTGTAAGTTATTACTAAGGACTTAAGAGACCCAGGCCATTTCCAAGGTCTCTTAAGAATTATTTTAAATCATTGAAAAGCTACCATAATTTAACATTTTATTTTTTTTATCTTTTTTTCAGGTAAAAATTTTTATAGAGTGAAACTGTACAAATTTTAAGTACCATTTGGTAAATTTCACCCCCATTTTTATTTGTATATATGCATGAGGTATAAGTGCAATTTTGAACTTATTTTGAGGTTTGCTACACTGATACTGCATTGTGGTAAAGTCAAAGCCTTCAGTACATACGTCGCTGAGTACGTATGTGAGTACATACACACTCTACTCACCAAGCAACCTCCCATCACTATCCCCCATTTAGTCTCCACTGTCCATCGTGCCACCCTCTGTTTCCATGTGTACACATTATTTATCTTCCACTTATAAGGAGAACATGCAGTATTTGTCTTTCTATGTCTGAGTTTCACTTAAGGGCCTCCAGTTCCATCCATGTTGCTGCAAAAGACACAATTTAATTCTTTTTTTTAAACCTGAAAAGTATTCCATTTCTTTATCCAGTCCTCCACTGATGGACATTTAGGTTGCTTCCATGTCTTTGCCATTATGAATAGTGCTGTGATAAATATATGAATGCAGGTATTCCTTTGATACACTGATTTCCTTCCCTTTGGGTAGATACCCAGAAGTGGGATTGCTGGATCTTATGGTAGTTCTATTTTTAGTTCTTTGGGAAATCTCCATATTGTTTTCCATAGAGGCTGCACTAATTTACATTAGCACCAACAGTGTGTAAGAATTCCCTTTCTCCACGTCCTTGCCAACGTATTACTTTTTGTCTTTTTTATAATAACCATTCTGATTGGTGTAAGATACCTCATTGTGGTTTTAATTTGCATTTCTCTGATGATTAGTAATGTTGAACATTTTTGCATGTGCTTGTTGGCCATTTTTTTGTCTCTTGAAAATGTCTATGTCCTTAGCTCACTTTTTAACAGGATTATTTGGTTTTTCTTTTTGTTGAATACCTTGTGAATTCTGAGTATTAGTTTCCTGTTGGATGTATAGTTTGCAAATATTTTCTCCCATTCTTTAGGCTATCTGTTCACTCTGTTGGTTGTTTCTTTTGCTGTGCAGAAACTTTGTAGGTTAAGTCTCATTTATTTCTGTTTCCGTTGCCTCTGCCTTTGAGGTCTTAGTCATGAATTCTTTGCCTAGACTAATATCCAGAAGAATTTTCTCTAGGTTTTCTTCCAGTATTTTTATAGTTTCAGGTCTTACATTCAAGTCTTTAATCCATCTTGAGTTGATCTGTGTATATAGTGAGAGATAAGGGTCCCAATTTCATTCTTCTGCATATAGCAATCTAATTTTCTCAGCACCATTTATTGAAAAGGTGGTCTTTTCCCCGGTGTATGTTCTTGTTGAATTTGTCAAAGATCAGTTGGTTGTACATATGTGACTTTATTTCTAGGTTCTCTCTTCAATTGATCTAATGTATCTATTTTTATGCCAGTAACTTGCTGTTTTGGTTACTACAGCCTTGTAGTATAATTTGAAGTCAGGCAATATGATGCCTCCAACTTTGCTCTTTTTGCTTAAGATTGCTTTGGCTATTAGGACTCTTTTTTGGTTCTGTATGAACTTTAGAATTGTTTTTTTCTAATTCTGTGGAAACATTGGTATTTTAATAGGGATTGCATTGAACCTGTAAATTGCTTTAGGCTGTGTGGTTATTTTAATGATATTAATTCCATGAGCATGGGATGTTTTTCCATTTGTTTGTGTCATTTACAGTTCCTTTCATCAGTGTTTTTTAGTTTTCCTTGTAAAGATCTTTCACTTCCTTGGTTAAATACATTCCTAGGTTTTGTGGGGTCTTTTGCTTTTTTTTCTTTTCTTTTTCACAGCTATCATAAATGGGACAGCCGTCTTGATTTGGTTTTTGGCTAGACTGTTATTGGTGATTTCCATACATTAATTTTGTGTCCCGAAACTTTTTTGAATTCATTTATCAAACCTAAGAGTCTTTTGGTGGAGTCTTTAGGATTTTCTAGATATAAGATTATATCATCAGGACAACTTGACATCCTCTTTTCCCATTTGGATGCATTTTATTTTTTCCTCTTGCCTGATTGCTCTGGTGAGGACTTCCAGTACTAGTTGAATATGAGTGGTGAAAGTTGGCATCCTTGGCTTGTTCAGTTCTTAGGGGAATCCTTTCAACTTTTCCCCATTGAGTATGATGTTGGCTGTGAGTTTTTTGAATGTGGCTTTTATTATTTTAAGGTATCTTCCTTCACTGCCTAGTTTGTTGAAGACTTTTATCATGAAAGGATGCTGAATTTTATCAAATGCTTTTTCTGTGTCTATTGAGATGATCATATGGTTTTTGTCCTCAATTCTGTTTATATGATGTATCACACTTATTGATTAACATATGTTCAACCATCCTTGCATCCCTTGCAACCCACTTGATTATGGTGTATAATCTTTTTAATGTACTGTCGGATTTGATTTGCTAGTAGTATTTTGTTGAGGATTTTTGTGTCTATGTTTATGAGGAATATTGGCATGTAGGGTTTTTTTGGTTTTGTTTTTTGGGTTTTTTTGTGTGTGTATATCCTTGTCTAGTTTTGGTATCAGGGTAATGCTGGTCTCATAGAATGAGTTGGAGAGAATTCCCTCCTCTTCAATATTTTCTTTTTTTGGGGAACAATTTCAGGAGTCATATTAATTCTCTGTATGTTTGGCAGAATTTAGCTATGAATACATCTGGTCCTGGACTTTTTTTTTTTTCTTGGGAGATTTTTTATTGCTGATTTAATCTTG